GTCTCAGGCAGGGAGGGGGAAGCTTTCCACAGCCCCATCATTCGGGAATTCAATGTGGGCAGCACCGGCTTGGGAAGGCAGACTTCCTAGGGGGTATGGGGACCCCGGTTTGGTCTCCATGGGGAGGGTAGCCTTAGCTGAGCGAGGTCCCAGGGGTGGGGGTGGGGCCCACTCACCTCCTTTGCCATTGTAGGTGTAGGTTTCCCAGAAGCGCTCCTGGAAGGGAGTCCGGGGTGGGGGGGTGGGGGGAAGCACATCAGTTGGGGACTCACCCAGCCCTTACCAAACCCAACTCCCTGCCCTGCGATGCTGATTCAGTGACCCTGTAGGATGGGGGTCAAACTGCTCCTGTGGGTTTCCGAGACTGCCACTCTTGACGGGAGTCAAAAGCCTTTCTCTTGGAGATCCAGCTAGGCAGCACCCAGCAAAGCCCTATCACCCAATTCAGTGCCATGGAGTTGACTGTGACCCCCTAGGGACCCTACAGGACAGAGCAGGACTGCTCCCTTAGGTTTCCAAGACTGTGAACCCTGACCGGAGCAGGCAGCCCCGGTGTTCTCCCAGGGAGAGGCTGCGGGGAGTTCGAACCGCTGACCTCCAGGCTAGCAGTCTAAGGTGTGGCCCACCATCAGGGCTGGAGAACACGCCACCCTGGCCCCCTGGGAGGCGGGAGTTGAGGGTCTAGAGAAGATGGAGAGCCTGGGACCCCAGGGTGCGCAGCCTCTGGGGCCTCACCGTCAGTGTGTTGTCTTCGAAGACTTCCCTCGCTTCCTCCCAGGAGCACCGCTCTTCAATGCACTCCCGCTCCAGGTTCCCTGGTGTCAGCAGCTCCAGGTCCCAGTGATTGGCTCTGGGCACTCGCTTGCGGCTGCCCAGGAAACTCTGAGCCTCTGGGGAGTCCAGGAAGACTTCTGGGCTCAAAGGACAGGAGGGAGAGAGAGAGAGAAATGGAGGGTCCTTAAGTCTGGGGACATGAAGGAAGTGGACAGGTGAAGTATGGAATCCTGGAGGACTAGGGACCAGAGACCTGGGGACCTGGACTCCTGGGTCTGAGGGAAGAGGGGGCTAGGGGCCTGGACTGCTGGGTCTGAGGGAGGAAGGGGTTGAGGACCAAACTTCCAGGTCTGAGAGGGGCAGGGGGTCTGGCATTGAGGAACCTAGGCTCCCAGGTCTGAGGGAGGAGTGGGGCTGGGGCCTGGACTCCAGACTGGTGGTACTGGAACTGGGTAAGATTAGCACCACCTGGACCCCCAACTCTTCCCGAACACCCACCTTGATCCTGCTCCCCACTGGGAGTGATGTCCAGGCAGGTGGTCAATCCCAGGTACAGCAGCAGTAGAGAGGGGTGGCCCCTCATATTTTGTGGACACCTAGAACCAGGTGGGGTATACAGTAGTTGGTCAGCCTCTGAGGACCAAAGCAAAGTCCTCCTAACCAGTCTAGCCCAGCCTCTAGGATTGGTGAATTTCTGTATTCTGTGTGAGCCGCTGTTCTCAGTTGTTCACCGCCAACCCAGACCAAACTCACTGCCAGCCAGTTGCGTAGACGGCGTAGAACTGCCCCTGTGGGTTTCCAAGGCTGTAACTGTTCAGGGGAGTAGAAAGTCCCTGGTTTGTCATTCCCCCTCCTCAGAGTGGCTGTTGGCTTCAAATTGCTGACCTTGCAGTTAGCAGCCCAACACATAACCACTACCACCCCCACCCCACCCCAGGGATCCTGATTTGCACAAGACTCCAATTACTATACCCATTTTACAGAGGGGAAAGCAGACGGGACGAGGAAGTAACCTAGCGTGCCCAAGCTCACACCGAAGTGTTTTGCAAGTAGAAGAAGCATGCTCTGAGCCATGTGGGCAGTGGGCCTCCAGTGCTGGTCTTTCCCTGCAGGGGGTTGGAACTTAAGCTCCTCAGCTGGTAATGGGAGTCCTGGCAAACCTCCACATAGTATGGATCCACCCTTCTCTGAGATCACTACCACATCCACCCACAGAGGGCAAAGACTACGGGAGACACAGAAACAGAAACCCAGCGAGTGCTCCCAGTTCCAGGGGAATGACTGACGGGGGTTGGGGGGGGGGGGCGGATGGGAGGCAGCTATCCTGGACAACTGGGCCAGGAGCCTAGCACTTCTAAGTCCCAGGAGGGCAGAGTCAGGTCACCAGGGTCCCTAAGCCAGGTTCTGCATCAGGGATGGAGGAGGAGGGATTGGCTTTTGCAGCATCCCCTGGATGGTTCAGCGCTCCCCCAGCGGGGAACTGTCGCCCACCTTGGGATAAATGGACGCAGTGCAGCCTCTCTTCTCCCACAAACAAAACCCGAGGCCATCGAGTTTAACGCCAACTCATAGCGACCCCACAGCGCGGGGTAGAACTGCCCCTGTGGGTTTCCCAGCCTCTTTCTCCTGGAGCGAGCCGCTGGTGGTTTCGAACTGGGGACCTGGCCGTTAGCAGCCCAGCAGGCTACCCACGGCACCACCAGGGTGGACACCTCTGTTTTATCCTGGATTGCCATCTCTCATATCAAAATTTTTAATTGGGGGAGTGGAAGGGGAGCAGGCACTTAATTTTTTTTTTCCTGAAAAGGGGGTGGTCGGCCAAATGATTTGGGGGACCTATGTTACAAGGAGAGCTCCTAAGACCTGCTTTGGGAGGTGCAGCCCCCCCCTGCCCCCCATTCCCATCCCCTCCAGTAGTAACCCAAAGCCTCATCTCGAAGGAAACGGAGCCAGCACAGGTAGGCGGGGCGCTCAGGCTTGGTGCGGCCTGGATGGGCGGTTTGAGTGGGCTTTCTTTGGCCTTTATTTCCTCCAACCAGGGCCCCTGGGCTTTCCTAAGCCCCCTTAGCAAACTAGTCTCGACAAGGCCAATCCTGCAGATTCAAGACACTTGTCAGGTAGATTGGGGGTGGCACCCGGCTTCTCTGGGCGGGTCGTGGAAGAGGGGCCGCCCCTAGCAACCAGGAGCCAATGTGAACGAAGCAACCTAGGACTGGGGCCTGTTGCTAAGGTGCATTGCCCCCTCTCGCCCCCCACCCAAGCAACCAGGCCAAAAGGGGGTGGGGCTTCTGTGCCCGGATGGGGATGTGTGTGTGCGTGTGTGTCTTTTGCAGTGGGCAGGAGGCCTTGGGTCTTTGGGCCTGACTAGGCCTGGTTGCTAGGGAGAAGGCCCCCTTAGCAACCAGGCCCAGACTGGATGGGGCTGTGGGGGAGGGGAAGCCAGCTAGCCAGGTACTTCCTCAGACTGGCCTGGCCAGCCTTCGTTGCTAGGGAGCAGCCCCCCTTAGCAACAAGGCTGCAGTCACCAGGGGGAGGACTCAGAACTCAGAGGGGAGGGGGTGGACTGGTCAGGTAAGGATGCCCCCAGCTTGGCCAGTCTCCGTTGCTAGGGAGCAGCCCTCCTTAGCAACGCCGCTGCCTTTGGGGCCCGAGGTGGCAGAACACCAAAAGAGTGGCTCTGGGTAGGATGTAACCTCTCCCTCCACCTGGGCACCCTTCCCTCCTCCAGCTGGGAACACTTCTGCACGAGGTGCAGGGC